CGGGTTTCTCTTATATCCGGGTTTCTCTTATATCCGGGTTTGGTCTCTTTTATATACATTAACACAGGCTCTAATTTGGGACCAGAGAAAATCTCTCTTATATCCGGGTTTATCTTATATCCGGGTCTCTTATATCCGGATTTCTCTTATATCCGGGTTTCTCTTATATCCGGGTTACACTGTAGTTATCTTCTCTCCGTTTCCGATTTCATCCTTGGTAATTTCTTGCTTTTTTCTATCTATCTATCTATCTATCTATCTATCTACCTATCTATCTATCTATCCCATCCTGTTCTTATCTATCTATCTATCTACCTATCTATCTATCTATCCCATCCTGTTCTTATCTATCTATCTATCTATCTATCTATCTATCTATCTATCTATCTATCTATCCCATCCTGTTCTTATCTATCTATCTATCTACCTATCTATCTATCTATCCCATCCTGTTCTTATCTATCTATCTATCTATCTATCTATCTATCTATCTATCTCATCCTGTTCTTATCTATCTATCTATCTATCTATCTATCTATCTATCTATCTATCTATCTATCTATGTCTGTCTGTCTGTCAGTCAGTCTACCTTTTATCATCTCACCGTAAGGAAGACGATAAAAGCCAAGAAGGCGCAAGGCGTTATTGACAATGGAAGTATCAGAGAGAAGGATGAAAAAAAAAAGGATTCAAAGAAATAGATGACGCTTGAAATTGCATTCAAATTTTTGAAGATCGCATTTGACATGAAAGCAAGTAGTCGGAAGTGAGTTCTTAAAATGCTGGGAGAGAAACTATTAGAAGAGTTATTACGATTATATCCAACAATTTCATGAGTGAAAATATGAGATCTAGCTGCTTCTTTCTTTTTCTTTCTTTCTTTCTTTGTTTCTTTCTTTCTTTTAACTTTTGTTTCCATCTATTGTTTTCTTCCTCTTTTTTCATCTTTTTTTTTTAAATTATATTTGTTCATTCGTTAACGTTATCACTGCTTCCACTTTGTTTTCTATACGTCGTTAAATAGAAACAATTTCAAAAGTTAAATTATCGGATCAAGCTTCTTCTTTCTTTTTTTTTCTTTCTTTCTGGCTTTTTTCTTTCAACTTTTGTTTCCATATGTTTCTTTCTTCTTCTTTTTTCATCTTTTTTTTTTTTAATCATATTTGTTCATTCGTTAACGTTATCACTGCGTCAACTTTGTTTTCTTTTCGTCGTTAAATCCAACAATTTCAAGTTAAATTATCGGACCAAGCTAACTCTTTCTTTCTTTCTTCATTTTTTCTTTCTTTCTTTCTTTCTTTCTTTCTTTCTTCATTCTTTCTTTCTTTCTTTCTTCATTCTTTCTTTCTTTCTTTCTTTCTTTCATGCCTTCCTCCATTCTTTCTTTTTAACCTTTGTATCCATGAATTTATTTCTTCATCTCTTTTCATCTTTTTTTTTTAAATACATTTGTTCATTCGTTAACTTTTTCATTGCTTCTTCTTTGTTTTCTATACATTGTTAAGTCCAGTAATTTCAAAAGTGAAATTATCGGACCAAATTGCTTCAATCACATTCTCTCTTTCCTTTATCTCTTTTCTCTCTTTTCTTTACTTTCTTTCTTTCTTTTTTGACCTTTTCCTTCTTCCATCAATTCTTCCACCGCCCACATTTCTTCTTTCATCTCTCTATGCAAAATACCCCTTTGCCTTATTATCTCGCCTTTACCCAACCCTCATTCCGCAGGTCTTCCTTTCTTCTTCCAGCTCATATCTCTTATATATTAATAACATTTTATCAAATACCAATTTCATGCCACAACTGATACGGTTTCGATAACGCTCACTGCAGATCAGAGGTCACATATCGTCAAGAATAGTGTAAGGATCCGTATGGGATTTTTTTTTCTGCTTTCAAACCTTCACTTTTCTTCAACCTCGAGCCACGCAATAATCCGGCAACAGATTTCAATCTAACCATCCCACAAGCCATCGCAGCCCTCATTTTATTTTCTTCGTTTCGTTTCGTTGGACTCCTGTTCCGCTCTTTGCATGAATTTTGGAGTGGCGTTGTCATACGCTTCGGTCGACTCTTTCGAGGGGAACGCGGAGACCGGATCACTGTGGTTATTCTGGTATAAATAAATTATATTAATTTTTTTCTGGCATATACCGAACAATTTCGGAAAAATTACAGATGATTTGTTTTTCGTAGATACATTGTGATTATTAGTCAGGATTAGCACAAGGCCAATATAATAGCTGTACCACCAATGGTTTTAGTGTTTGATTTTCATAGCTGCATACTTACGAATTGATTCAATATATTCTTTGCCTTTCATGTCAGTTGAAACTTTAGTCTGAGAAGGTGTGCCTGTGCTAGACTTACCACTCAACAAATTGATTTGCATATGATATCTTATATCTTTTTCCAGCATGTTTTTTTTTCTCTCTCTAATTGAAGTTTAAATATCTGGGACGTTTTTTTTTTATAGAGAACGGCAAGTGCGACGCTGAGATCCGCAGACGAATTGGGATGGTCCATGGCGCATTCCAAAAGCTTGGCAGAATTCTGAGGGACAAGAATATTTCTTTGGTAACAAAGAAAATAGTACTGAGCTGTGATGTGACATCTGTCCTCCTTTATGGCAGGTAATGTTGGACGGTCTCCTCACTCTCCTTGAGATTAGGATCAGTGTTGCGATATTGAGGATATACTAATGCCTGTGATGGTGGAAAGTGTGAACATTCTCCCTCATTTCGTCAATTTAAAGACGCTTCGTGCGTTTACAATTGGCCGTAAGTTTTCACTTCAATGTGAGAGGTCTTGTCTGAAAAGAAAAGCCTCACCTGGGTCCAACATTCTTGCATTCTCCTTTTAATTAAGAGGCCCAGAAATTGACACACGCAAAAATATCGAATTCAGACGCAATTTTGCCAGATCGATATCAGTATTAAGACAAAATAAATAATGGTTTAACACACGACTGACACACCCTAAATATCTATCAGTGATCCTGTCGACTAACATAAACATTTGCAGGTATTATTTCAGAACGACTCACACGTACATTGATGTGTCAAAAGTTGTGGAAGTTCTGGATGTGCGGGTGGTGTAATGTATAACGGGAACCCGGGGAGACTTCTAGTCGACTGCGTTACATTCACTTGTGAGTATAATCTCTAGGGAAAGGTGTGAATCCAACTCTCACCCCCCCGCCAACCATGGGAGTATTAACCAATCTTGTATCTGGAAACAAATAATTATCTAAAAACAATGATGATAAAAATCAGTTACAAAAAAGAATTATTCTTAATATACGACGTATTTCTTCTGCTTTAAATAAACTACAAAGGTTTGATTCGTTTGCTTTGCTTGTTTAACGGTATATCAACATCTTATGGGTCATTTTGGGAACATTGATATTCTCCCGCCATATATATATATATATATATATATTATAAATTAATTGATTTAAATTTTTTTTTTTTTTTAAATCAATTAATTTATAATATTAATGCTCTGTAAATTTACATTGAGCACTATTTTGTAAAAATAAAAATATCTATAAGAACACCGGACTATATATCTTACTGTTCTTTCTTTTTATTTATATATATATATATATATATATATATATATATATATATATATATATATATATATATATATTACTGGTATTTTTTTACAATAATGTATTGCTGGTAATTATTTTTTCTTTTTACTATGAAAATAATAGTTAGTAATTTTTCTCATGTATTTTTATATTTTCAATGTTTTGACCCCAGTTTTGGTGTTTACTATTTACCCGTAGCTGCTACCCCAACAAGGTGGTGCAGTTAGTTATGTTCCATGTCTGATACACGCTTAGGCGAACATGTATCTTTCGATACATGACTGACGAGGCAGATTTTTTCCTGCAGTAGGTTGCTATTTCTTTCGGTGGTAGACCAGTTGCCATCCAAGGATACAGAACCCAGTCTGCCATGGTACTTACACATAGCTTGGGGGGAGGGGACAAAGATTCATATCTTTCCCAAGGGTATTAGCACGTAAGCGAATATCAATCAGTTATGTGGCATGCGTGATACATGATTAGGCGATCATGTATCTTTCGATACATGACTGAGGAGGCAGATTTTTTTCCTGCAGTAAGTTGCTATTTCTTTCTGCTGTAGACCGGTTGCAACCCAATGATATACAACCAGGTCTGTCATGCTATCTACCCACAGCTGAGAGGAGAGGAAGAGGATTTCTACTTTCCCCAAGGGTAATAGCACGTAAGTGAATCCAATGGATTCGACTGGAATTCGAACTCGGCTCAATCCAATCGTATCATTAGCAAATTGAAGATTTTTCACGTCTGCTTATTGAAAGTTTCGTTGATAATTCTGTGAAGTAAGTGCCATTTTTGTTTGCTACCATCGTTTGTATCTATCATTGCCTTTATCATCTAAATTCCGCATATTGTTTAGATTGTTTTGAATTGTGTGCGGTGACGAGGATACGCAAACATCATGGCAGAGCCCGAATCTCCAGATGCCTCAGCCACTGAAGCGACTCCTTCGATATGGGCAAAGTATAGGCCCCCACAAAAAGGACTAGATTATTATTAAAAAAAAGAGAAACGCTTGTGGAAAAATTTCAATCATTTGTTAAACGAAACGAGTTGCTACCGGCGTCATTTAGTAGAAACCGTAAACACTCGTACAGTTTACACTATTTACATTGCTGGTGTTTCCAGGTCCACCCTGACCCGGGGTGGTAGCGCCTGTTAGGGTCCCAGCTATGGGCAATAGTTTACACCCAACCTTGGTGTATAAATAGGTTTTAATACCAGAAATACTTTGTAATAAAAAAAATTATTATCAGCAATATTCTTTGAAGGAAATCATCCTCATCTTTGTTGCCATATTTATCACAACGTTTCGACCGTTGTACGCCCCGGCAGAGGAAATGCGGATGATTCAACTCCGTGGAAGTAGATTTTCATAGCATAACTGTAGAATGGTTGAACTAAATATTTGAAATTCTCCATTTTTCGCACTTGTGTGAATGTTTTATAGCTATATGATGTATGCGTTTTTTCTTTCCAGGAGTTCACATGCAAGGCGCAGCTCGATCGACGACGTCTGTTCATTTCGTGGTGTTGGGTGGTCACTAAAATCGGTTTAATCGCGTATGTATACTCGAAGGCTACGATTCTATCCCTAATTTCAACACGCCGATGCACCTGATTTCACTGTATGCAGAGTCTATTTAACTTCATCTAACATAAGCTGTTTAATAAAAAATCGAACAAATATTAATATTGGTCTTCAGGTGGTTGAAATGTCAACGTGAACCCCTTACTTCGCTCACTGGGGTAGACTGTTCTAGTTCCACGTGCCATGTCTAATGGATGTCAGTTATCAGTTATCTCCTGTTAATGCCACTCTACAATTTCTCCACCGCTTTAACCAGGTATTGAACTCACACTCTTTGTGTCCTGCCACTGGATCTAACCCTTAAAGACATATGTGTATGAATTTATAAACTGAATGTCTTCAGCCACCATCTTTTACTAGTGATCATATCGCAATTTTTGCTGTTAGCATTGCAAATTTGTCTGATTTATGTCTGATTTAGATAAAACTACAGTTGACGGTATTTATATTATTCGGACTATTGTCTACACCTTTGTTGCCATATTTATAACAACGTTACGGCTGTTGTACGCTCCGGCCTTCTTCAGGTGGTTGAAATATCGAACAGAGCCCTTTATTTCGCTCGCTGGGGTAGACTTTTCTAGTTCCACATAGCATGTCTAATGGATGACACTTATCTGTTATCCCCTGCTTAATTCCCTCTCCAAGTTCTTCACCGCCATAACTAGGTATTGAACTCACACACTTTGGGTCCTGTCACTGGATCTAACTAACGCTTTTATCCAGTGACAGGACTAATCTCAGAAATATCGACAGATACTCGTACAATTTCTTTATTAACAACGGACCCCAAAACTAAGAAAACTAATTACAGTGAATAGAGACGTGAGGGAAGAGGCCCTGAAAAGCCTTCGAATATCGGCAAAAATTTGTGCAAGAAGGAGTAACTCAATGTGGGGCATTTTGTTGCCCAAAGAAGATGCAGCTAAAGCGTTGGCAGGCTGTATTCTAACTAGTACTTCAATCAGTCTTCAGAATACATGGGAACAAAACAAGCGAAGGTGACTCTACATAGAGTCTCCCTATACATATCTATCATTTAAACCTTTTCTTTTCACAGTTTGGGGACGTCTCGGACGTCTACCCTACTAAAAGGAAGGCAGGAATAGCCACAGGCGGTTTTGAAATCTCAATTACGCTAAACAGAAAGCACTGCATGGAAATAACGAACACATTAATGTGTGAAGGGAGACTTATTTATATCGTTATGGAAAGCTGTCGACCACTTTGTTGGGCTTGTGGTGCCACAAGGAATTTGTCCGTAGGCTTGTCCGGGACAAAATTCAGAACCACAACCCAATAAGAAAAGTGAGGTACAATCTGCAACAGCACAGAAAAAAGCAACGACAATAAAAAGAATCTGTGAAAAAAACTGGAGAATGGACGTAAGTCGTAAAAAAGGGATCCAAAATGGCTACCACTTCCCTTGAGCAGCAGCAGAATGAGAAGTCTCAAGAAGGATCAGCAGGGGGCTAAATTACAGTAGAAGTAGAAATTTTGTAGATGCCCCCACCTGGGTCCTCATCAATGAAAAGTGGGGAGAGAGGAATTAGAAAAGAAAAAAAAATCACTAAAAATGATAAGCAAGCTGGCAAAATTATAAGAAGAAAAACCAAGGCACAATCCGTTCCGGCTTCAGCAGTCAAGAAACAAAAGCCTCCTCAAGAAGCCACCGTTCTTCCTCTCTGAAAGCAACGAAATAGCCCCAATGACTAATACGCCTCCTCTTAAAGCCACACTCCCAATACCACTTCAGCCGATGACATTTCCCAGCGACTCCCCAACGCCCAGCACCTCCTACCAGATTAAGAAGAAATTCCCGATGTTGGGGTACGATCGTGTCAAATAGACAAGCCGGCAATAGAAAGGGAGATTTCAATAGAAAAGAGAGTGCTGTTAAAATTTTTATTAAAAAAAAATGTCAGTAGACGGGCGCTCTATAGAAAACCTCCGAAATTCCCCCAAGTCTGCTGTGGTAATAATTTGGATTATGAAAACAGGCAGAAATTATACAGTGTGGGATAATCTGTACGAAGCAAAGGATACATTTCCCAAGATCCGTATTGTGGAAATGTGAACTCTTGACCTGAAAAAAACTTTTGCGCGGGGAGGGTTCCAATAGTCCTCCACCCTTCATTATATAGGGCATTAAACTGACCTATCCGTGGGCGTAGGCAGCATTGTCATAGATAGTTGCATGACGACAGAGATGGGGATAGGGAGCCTAGGATAATCCGCCGAGTTCCTTTCATCCGCAGATTTCTGTCCAGTCTCTAAGTTGGGGAATCAACTTGAAAATGCCTCTCATGATAGCTAGTTTGGATGCGAGGTCTTGAGGGATCGGAATAAGGCTTCCTGTCTGCTGCGTGATGGACGTAGATGTAGCTGCAATCCAGGAAAACGCACTTTGTTTTCAAGGATGATGCTCATGTGCAGTCTAGCGTCTATGTTGCCTATTCAGCATACGTGGACCAGCCGGCCAGATATGTTTCCTTGCTGGTTAAACGTACCCTGAGTGCGAAGGGCATTGTCCATGTAAATAGGGTGGGGGCTGGTTGATCGCAGCTTATACTGCCGTGAACAGTAATTCGTTTCGTGTCGTTGCGGTTTATGTTCCCAACGATCATGGGGAGCGTATCTCGTTTTTTCGGCAGTTGATTCTTCGCGCTGAGCTTTAGTAGGGGAATGAAATGCCATGCTGAACCCCAAGATAGACAGGGGGCGCGGAGCTAGCGGGAGGTCATTGGGTTATCTGATCAGCGAGTTTGGTCTCGTCGATAGATACCGGGTCGAACACGCTCGGCGGGAAATGTGGACGTGGATTCGTAAGTGGCTAGCTACCTGGATAGAATGTTAGTGAGAAGGGCAGTATAGACTTATTAGCTTACTCGACGTTCCACTGGTTAGCCTATTCGGACCGTAGACTCGTCTGTGCCCAAATAGCGTTAGATGCTAGGTCTAGAATGGCTGGACACTGGAAGTTCTATCTGTCTTTAATGGACAAGGGAGACTTCAAGCAACAGACTAGTACAGCGGGAATTAGTTGGAGCGGTTATTTGGAATAGGTGGCGAAAAGCCCTCTTCGTCACAACGGGGCGGTTTTCCTGTGAAGTCTCTCCTGGTTAAGTTAGAGTCTCTCTTGTGTACCTAGTTAATATGAGTGTCGTTTTCGACCTGGTCCAGGCTTCTTCTTTTGGTTATGAAGCAAGTTGAGATTCCCAACCTCCCCAGTTTGTTTTTGGCCACTTTTTTCATCTCGACGGGGAAGTAAAAAATAAATGTAGGGAAATCACTAACACTTACCACTTTTGAGGGGTGGACGTGTCCTACTAACATCTGTTATTTTCTGTTTTACATTTGTTATAATCTGTTTGCAATTGGGATTTAAACCCACCCACATTTGATATTATCTTCATATTTATATATATGCATATAGATATATATTACGAACATTTGTATATAGGAAATTTGGATATAAGAAATTTTTATGTCAAGGGTTTTTTTTGCAGGTTCTTTTTCTGTATGTGGTATTGTGGTATATCTAGGAGTAAAATCTGAAGGATGACTTCATTTGGTATATGTGTTATTTATATTGAATGAATGGGTCGTGAACGTATTAGCTGGATATAGGATAGTTAAATATGATCAGCCTCACCCCACTTCTCTCTTTTTGAGGACTGTGCCGTAATTATTGTATTTTACAATAATAAATATTTACTACTAGCAGCATGGCCCGGCGTTACCCGTGCTTGTTTCAAAAATCGTACGACTCATACAGCAATTGCTATCACTTGACTTAAAACATTTTGCCCTTCCTTGCCTTTAAACGAGTGCCCTTTGCCGTGCTGATGTTGCTACATGCCTTACTTCTTGCCTATCTCACACTGCGAATTTTTTCTAAGCTCTATACTAAACATTAAATCTGTTACGAAAAAAGAACTAAACAAATTGAACACAAAACGATCAGCTTTAAAAAAGGACTCTTAACTAGAAAAACTGAATGAAAAAAGAATGTTAACAACAAATACTTTTTCACACCCAACCCAGTTCTGCGGAATCAGAATCAACGTTGAGTTTAAGCAAGCCAATGAGCCAAATGGAGTAAAGTGCCATGCAGATTTAAACTTTTCCGACTTGTGACGAATGCAGTTATCGATATTTTTTCATGCTAGCATGCTAGTTAACATTAGTGTCAGTCATCTGTTGGCTCTCACGCTGGCCAATAGAATCTTCCTGCCTATTCGTGGCAGCCAGCTATAGGCTCTCTCTCTGGCCAGTACAAAATGCCCTCAAACTACATGAAAACTGCCGTAGAAGCATGAAATAATCGATTATTTCCACTATCGATGGGAGTTAAGAAATGCAAAGTCGGTGATGGCTTTCCCACTAACTTGGAGCAAGTGCATGTAAATTTTTGGTGCAAATCCGTCTAAAATTGCGACCGTGCATTCGTTACACGCATCACACACAACCTGCCTTATATATATATATATATATATATATATATATATATATATATATTACACTTATTGCATATATAGTAAAAACCAATTTTCGGTTTAGAGGTGAGCTTTTTCAAGATTTAAAAGAAAATAAAAAATATTCATTTACTTACTACTGTACAAAAGTTTATACACAGCAACATAGGGTTACAAAAGTCATATCCCTAATGCATATATGTTCCGTTACTTTCTTATTCAGTTGAAATACATCATTTCAAATTTTGGGAATGGTCATTCTCATAGAAGAAAAAAAATATTATATTTTTATCCCTCCGAATATGTGAGTTCCCGAACTTGTCCAATATTCTGACTTCGTTGCTTTTGTGTGCGTTTGCCAAAGATGTTATTGTTTCCAGTCTTTTTTTTTTTTTTTTTTTTTCATTCCTATCTTACCGATCTATTCTATGGATTTTTTTTTCATTCTTTTTTTCGCTAATGTGCTTTGATGGAGTTTAAATGCAAATCGTCTCTGACATTTGTTTTGAAGAAAAATACACGTCCTGTCACAAATAAATGCTTGTCCACCGGACATGTGAAGTCATGGTTCAAAATCTCGTTGTGTCGATCTCCGCTGGTAAAAAAAAAAAAAAACATTATTGTGGCTTCTACCAGACGAAGTAAAACTGCATAAATATAAGACTAGTAGAAAACTTTATAGAAAAAAAAACAAAAGAAAAAAAAAATCGCAGACATTCGATTCAGCTTCTGTTATTTTGTATGCCTCTCAAAAAATATATCAATCTATTCGATCCTCGACCAGAAGCATATACTTGTAGTCTTGTACGTAAGCGATAATTGCTCTCCACAACTTCCTTTTCTTTCCAGCTCTAAAATAAGTCACACTCTTCGACACTGTTCTATGAAGGATTACCAAAAAGCTTTTCAGTAGATTATTTTGTTTCCACCGATTCTAGATTGCTTTGGTTTCATTTGCTTTACGGTATATCAATCTCTACGGGTTATTTAATACCGACAAGATTGATATTGTTGGTAATATTTTTTTCTATCTATCTATCTATCTATCTATCTATCTATCTATCTATCTATCTATCTCAGCATATATTAGTTTGGTCTGCTTTGTTTTACGGCATATCAACATCTAAAAATATTATTTTATCTATCTATCTATTTATTATCTATCTATCTATCTATCAAGAGTTTTATCTATTATTGTTATCTCAAATACAGTTTTAATATTTTTCTATCTATCTATCTATCTATCTATCTATCTATCTATCTATCTATCTATCTATCTATCTATCTATCTATCTCAGCATATATTAGTTTGGTCTGCTTTGTTTTACGGCATATCAACATCTACGGGTTATTTAATACCGACAAGATTGTTATTGTTGGTAATATTTTTTATCTATCTATCTATCTATCTATCTATCTATCTATCTATCTATCTATCTATCATATATTCTATCTTTGTTTTACGGCATATCAACATCTACGGGTTATTTAATACCGACAAGATTGTTATTGTTGGTAATATTTTTTATCTATCTATCTATCTATCTATCTATCTATCTATCTATCTATCTCAGCATATATTAGTTTGGTCTGCTTTGTTTTACGGCATATCAACCTCTACGGGTTATTTAATACCGACAAGATTGTTATTGTTGGTAATATTTTTTATCTATCTATCTATCTATCTATCTATCTATATCTATCTATCTATCTATCTATCTATCATATATTATCTATATCTCAGTTTTTCATTATATCTACGGGTTATTTAATATCGACAAGATTGTTTTGTTGGTAATATTTTATCTATCTATCTATCTATCTATCTATCTATCTATCTATCTATCTATCTATCTCTATCTAGCATATAGTTTGGTCTGTTTTGTTTTATCGGCTATCTCATCTACGGGTTATTTAATATCGTTCAAGATTGTTATTGTTGGTAATATTTTTTTATCTATCTATCTATCTATCTATCTATCTATCTATCTATCTATCTATCTATCTATCTCAGCATATATTAGTTTGGTCTCTTTGTTTTATCTATCTATATCAACCTCTACGGGTTATTTTATTTAAAGATTGTTATTATCTGGTAATATTTTATTATTATCTATCTATCTATCTATCTATCTATCTATCTATTATCTATCTATCTCAGCATATATTAGTTTCTATTTTATCTATCTATCTCTATTATTTATATCGACAAGATTGTTATTATCTATCTATTTATCTATCTATCTATCTATCTATATCTATCTATCTATCTATCTATCTATCTATCTCAGCATATACAGGTTCATCTCTTTGTTTTACGGCATATCAACCTCTACGGGTTATTTAATACCGACAAGATTGTTATTGTTGGTAATATTTTTTATCTATCTATCTATCTATCTATCTATCTATCTATCTATCTATCTATCTATCTATCTATCTCAGCATATATTAGTTTGGTCTGCTTTGTTTTACGGCATATCAACATCTACGGGTTATTTAATACCGACAAGATTGTTATTGTTGGTAATATTTTTTATCTATCTATCTATCTATCTATCTATCTATCTATCTATCTATCTATCTATCTATCTCAGCATATATTAGTTTGGTCTATCTTTCTTTTTATCGGCATATCAAATCTACGGGTTATTTAATACCGACAAGATTGTTATTGTTGGTTTTTATTTTTTATCTATCTATCTATCTATCTATCTATCTATCTATCTATCTATCTATCTATCTATCTATCTCAGCATATATTAGTTTGGTCTATCTTTGTTTTACGGCATATCAACATCATCGGGTTATTTAATACCGACAAGATTGTTATTGTTGGTAATATTTTTATATATCTATCTATCTATCTATCTATCTATCTATCTATCTATCTATCTATCTTATCTATTTGGTCTGCTTTGTATCTATCTATCTCGGGTTAGTTCATTTGTTATTCTATCTATCTATTTATCTATCTATCTATCTATCTATCTATCTATTATCTATCTATCTATCTATCTCATCATCTATATTATTTATCTAAAATCTGTTTACGGCATCTACCTCTACGGGTTATTTATTATTATTTATCTAATATATTTATCTATCTATCTATCTATCTATCTATCTATCTATCTATCTATCTATCTATCTATATATCTATCTCAGCTTTTGTTTTTAAAAACATTGTTTAATATTTTATCTATCAAATCTATTTATCTATCTATCTATCTATCTATCTATCTATCTATCTATCTCATCATCTTCATATATTAGTTTGGTCTGCTTTGTTTTACGGTATATCAACCTCTACGGGTTATTTAATACCGACAAGATTGTTATTGTTAGTATATATTTTTTATCTATCTATCTATCTATCTATCTATCTTCATATCTATCTATCTATCTATCTATCTCAGCATATATTATTTTGGTCAATTTTGTTTTTTCATATCAACATCTACGGGTTATTTAATACCTACTAGATTGTTATTTTGGTTTTTTTTATCTATCTATCTATCTATCAATCTATCTATCTATCTATCTCATCTATCATATATTAGTTTGGTCTGTTGATTTTCGGCATATTATCTACGGGTTATTTAATATCCGAATATTTTATTATAATTTTTTATCTATCTATCTATCTATCATTATCTATCTATCTATCTATCTATCTATCTATCTATCTCAGCATATATTAGTTTGGTCTGCTTTTGTTTTACGGCATATATCAACCTCTACGGGTTATTTAATACCGACAAGATTGTTATTGTTGGTAATATTTTTATCTATCTATCTATCTATCTATCTATCTATCTATCTATCTATCTATCTATCTCAGCATATATTAGTTTGGTCTATCTTTGTTTTACGGTATATCAGTTCTACGGGTTATTTAATCTATCGACAAGATTGTTATTGTTATCTATAACATTTTTTATTTATCTATCTATCTATATCTATCTATCTATATATTAGTTTATTTGTTTTATCTATATATATCTCAGGTTATTTAATACCGACAAGATTGTTAGCATTGTTCATTTGGTTTTTTATTATCTATCTATCTATCTATCTGGTATATCTCAGCATATATTATTTAAGAATTTATTTACGGTATATCAACATCTTCGGGTTATTTAATATCGACAAGATTGTTATTATTGGTAATCTTTTATCTATATCTATCTATCTATCTATCTATCTATCTATCTATCTATCTATCTATCTCATCTATATATTAGTTTGGTCTGCTATTTTGTTTTACGGTATATCAACATCAGTTCTACGGGTTATTTAATATCAAACAAGATTGTTTTATTGGTAATATTTTTTATCTATCTATCTATCTATCTATGTATCTCAGCAGTTATATTAGTTTGGTCTATTTTTTTTGGTATATCAACCTCTACGGGTTATTTAATACCGACAAGATTGTTATTGTTGGTAATATTTTTTATCTATCTATCTATCTATCTATCTATCTATCTATCTATCTATCTATCTATCTCAGCATATATTAGTTTGATTTGGTTTGTTTTACGGGATATCAACCTCTACGGGTTATTTAATACTGACAAGATTGTTATTGTTGGTAATATTTTTTATCTATCTATCTATCTATCTATCTATCTATCTATCTATCTCAGCATATATTAGTTTGATTTGGTTTGTTTTACAGTATATCAACCTCTACGGGTTATTTAATACCGACAAGATTGTTATTGTTGGTAATATTTTTTATCTATCTATCTATCTATCTATCTATCTATCTATCTATCTATCTGAGCATATATTACTTTGATTTGGTTTGTTTTACGGTATATCAACCTCAATAGATTATTTAATGCAGACAAGATTTTCAGGATTCATTTGTATAAATAGAATATGTATTCTTTGAAAGAAATCAGTTTTTAGATAAGTTTTCATTGATTTTGTTTTACGGCATATCAACCTGAATGTGATATTTAATGTCGACAAGATTTTCATGATAGATTCGGATGAATAGATCCTTTGTAAAAAAATAAGTTTCTAGATCAGCTTTGATTTATTTTATTTTACGGCATATCAACCTGAATTGGATATTTAATGTCGTCAAGATTTTTAAGATAGATTATGTATCCTTTGTAAAAAATAAGTTTGTAGATCAGCTTTGGTTTATTTTGTTTTACAGCATATCAACTTCAATGGGTTATTTAATGCCGACAATATTTTTGGGATAGTTTCGTACGAATATAATATGTATCCTTTGTAAAAAAAAAATCAGTTTCTAGATCAGGTTTCATTAACGTATTTTTGTTAAGATTTTTTTTCTTTTTTTTTTTTGAGTCAAATGTATTGCTGTTAATATTTTTCCAAAATATGTTACTAGTATGTTTTACTATAAAAAATCTATTTTTATCCAATCATAGTATTTTGATCCCAGTTTGATGGTTTACTATTGGCGCATGTCTGGGACCCTAACAGGGGCTACCAGCTCGGGCCAGGAAACACGCTCCTCAAAACCTCCCGATCAGTGGCCTTGCTGTCGGATGTAGATTGTCCTCATATCTTGGACGCACAGATTCTATAGCCTTCAATTTATCCTATGGGCGTTAAAATCTCCAATTTTTTTTTACATATATTCCAAATGGCGTTGCTCTCATTTTTTTTGACCATGTGTTCTTAAAAATCGTTGTTACAACAACATCTCTGTCAGCTGAAGTATCTTTTATATCTTTGAGAAAAGTTGATAGATATAAAATAAAAGTTTTTTCCCTCTAATTGTTGTTTCTATTGATTGTTTACTTATATCTTAATGCATTGCTAACTTTCTCGAAGATGTATTGATTCTATTCTAATGTTTTTTTGGATATATGTTAAAATATCCATTGTTTGTTACTCCAATACCCAGCTTATTTAATAATCGAGGTTGAGCCGAAAAGTTCATAGGCTGTCTATGAAGGAGTGACGCTAGAACTGTGAAACCATGCATGCTTTAATGTCAACTGTTGTTATTGTTAACTGCATTGTTTCATTCAGTCAAACCGACATCTTACTGTTCAAATGTTATTTCGAATGCAATTACTAGCGATTTAACTTGACAATGGACTAAATTTGGCACCGTGGTTTTATAAAATACCTGCAGAAAAATCATTTACCCCCAAAGACATTCATTCTGATATGTTTGCTACACTATGGTGTAACGGTTCAGCTCTATCAACAATGCAATAGTGAGCAGCTGAATGTAGGAGGGAAAAGGATAGTTTTGAATCTGATTTTATGTTTCAAAGTTCAACTATTGCCACCACAGAGAAAAAAAAAAGATTGGTTGTTTTCTCCACATGGGGATGGATGACAGGTGATTGACTATAAATCAAATAGCCAATTCTATTAGCCTATCCGTGAGAATGTTAACAATATGCTGCAAAATGAACTTGGCATGACGGAGGTCTCTGCTCGGTGAGTGTCACCTCTTCTGTCACCTGATCAAAAGCCTAGCAATATCACGGGGAAATCCAGCTAGTCTCCTGGATCGTATAGTAACCCAAGATGAGTTTTGGTGTGAACCAGAGACAAAGACACAATCCATGCTGTGGTAGCATTCTTCCTCATCTTCTCCAAAGAAAGCCAAAGTCGTTCAGTCTTCAGGACAGCTGATGCCTTGAATTTTTGTAGATGCAAAAGTCATTGCGTTTATTGACTGTCTTTAAAAGGGCCATACCATCAACGGTGAACACTATGACAACTTGCTAAGTCAGTTACGTAAAACTGACAAGACCGAACGTCATAGAAAGTGGTGATATTTCGTCAGGGCAATATTCCAGCAGACAAGTTTTTAGTTTGAATGTCTGCTGTGCCTGGTCGATCATCCTTCCTATTCTCACGA